TACCTCATTAGGCATTCAAGTTCAAATAAATGTTGAAATACTCGAGTGATTTGTTTATAGAGAAATGTTTTGATTCTTCCAAAAAAGAATTATATTGTTTCACCGAACGGAGAATGCATTTAAGAGAAAATATAAAAACGGACTCACCTATACAGTTTCTAGGGCCTGCACTAAAGGGTACAAACGCATAAGGATGCCTTCCTTTAGCTCTTTCAGAAGAAAATCTATCAGGATCAAATTTGTCTGGTTCAGAATAATAATCAGGATTGCGATGAATGAAATATGTAATAATAAGTATAGTTGTACCTGGCAATAATTTACATCCATCTACAACAAACATGAACAAAATTGGAAGGTGTTAACAAAAGAGAATACTGTTAATTTTAACACTATTAACTCCTTTAATTTATTCTTAATTATAACTTTTCTTACTTTTAACAGTATTAACAGCTTTAACTTCCCAAAAATTAATGTTATTTACTTTTTAGGAGAATAACTTTTATTTGTTTGAGAAAATATAGTAAAAAAAGTAAGAATGAAGCTTCATTTCAAGAATTACTTTAAAAAAAGGAACAGATGTCAATATTGTAACATTATTATAGAGCAATGTTGAATGGAAGTGTGCAATCATTAATATTTTCTTTCATTTAACGCGTGTCGGATTTTTAGGACTTCAAAATTGTAGTAGATTAAAAACTAATGTTATTTTAAGGTAAAGTTTTGTCATCATGCCAACGAGAATATTCTCGAGGCAATTCACGGGAGACATGGAGTACCGTTAACATTTAATTCCCAAGAATAAGAAATAGATATAAGACGAGACGTCTATTTAAATGTTCCAGGTTTCTTTTATATGAAATCAGAGTGTCATGGCTCTAAGTATTTTCCCTCACAACCCATTAAAAATTGGTTACTCGGGCGCTGTAAGTGAACTCACTCCCCAATCTAGTAGAGCCCGTTTTTTTAAGAAATACGATATACAATACCAAATTGTACTTCTTCCTCCAACTCTCTTAGAACCAATGGTATGGCAGGATAAAGTCGCATGCTTTCTTTGATTACTGTTTCTAAATATTTCATATTTTGCAAGTCTTCTTCAGTAGCTTCACGATCGGAATCCCCAAATATTGAGTTCAGCTCCTCATATGCATTCTCCTGAAAATATTACAAAGAATATTAGTGCATCATGGTGATAACAATTCAACATAAAAATAGCTAATGATAATATTAGTAGATTCAATTCAGAACCCTTCCGCTGATTTGCATTAATTTGATCATACTACTTAAACTAATGTCTGTCCGTCCGTCCGTCCGTGTGTGCACAAGGCTAGCGCATAAAGAGTTCAGCCGATTTTCTCGAAATATATTTCCCCATCGTTCTAGCTGATGTCGCCATCCCTGGGATTTGAAACCGATATTTTAATTTTGAGAGTACATTTTATGAAGCCCCGGGGAAAATTTCAAAAATTTGAAAAGTATGGCTCCAATTTTGTTATTAAATTTTGTTGTTGAATTGTGCAAAGGACGTTTAAGAGAATAGTGCAGGTCCCATTTTCATTGAAATCACTGATTATTTGAAAATTGCAATAATAAATAAATAAATAACTAAAACTACAAAATTGAAGTTAGATATTTTTACCTCAGACAAACTATGGTGAACAAAAGAAGCTCTTTAAAATAGGTAATATACAATTTTTTTGAAAAAACGAGAACGTTTTGCGTAATTTCTGCTTGAAATTAATGAAATATACACAGGTATCAGGAATTAATTAAAAACCTACAAATAAAACGAAACATATTAATATAAACTACCTGACATTGTGGATGGTTTGCTAGTGACCACAAACACAAGGCCGCTGCTACTGCAATTGTATCATGACCCTGAAATGAGAAAATAAGTAAATAAATTATAATATTTTCAATACATTTAAGTTAAAACGTTTCTATACAAGATGTGTCCAGAAGTAAATTTGAATGATTTTCCCCCGCTAACCCGGACGACTGGAGTGTTGTGATTGGTGGAGGGAAAAGGGGTCTGGGGAAGGTAAAAGGCGTCCCTCACAAATTGCCTGCTGGCCGCCGCCCTGTGCGGATTAAGCAGGTGTGTCAAGCTCGAACACTCATGTCAGCACACCAGAATGAAAAATATAAAATGATTCATTTCTATTTAATTGCCACAAATTATAATTAATTGTCACGTATTTTTGTGGTGAAAACGAGTGTGAACTGGCTTGGCGTGTCAAGCGGAAAAGTTAAAATAATTTATTGCTAATTAATTTCCACAAATTTGAATTAATTGCGTCAACCCAACGCTCCCCCATCTTCACAACGAAAATGTGTCAATTAATTCCAAGCCGTGTCAATTAATTAGCAATTAAATAACAATAATTCTTTAACATGTTTTATTTCGATGTGCTGACATCGGTGTTCCTGCTTAACGCACCTGGATAGCTTCTAGCGTGACAATGTGTTCTAGAGATGCATCGGGAGTTCAAAATGCCACGATTCACTGACCTACGATATGCCATTACATTTCGTATTGAATTAGAGAAATCAGGCTCTGAGACCGATCCAATTCTTAAACAAGTTATTGGGACGATGTGATGTCCCAAGACATGGTTTGCCGGTGGCCAAGATGTTCCGGGATGGAGAAAGGATGTCGACTACGAACAGCAGCCTGGATGCCCTTCCACGGATCATGACTTATTTGATTCCTAAAACACTGTCCTCTAGGAGTTTGAGTCACAGGGGAAAACTGTCAATAGTTAATTTACTAAACTTACCCGGACCGGACCGGGCGGCGGCGTGAGCGACAGATGCGCATGATTGTGGCCAAGCTGGCCTCATTCAGGAAGCGGGAGGAGCTGCTGCGTGCAGCCCGGGAGCATCTCTCCCAGAATAGCATGGTGCGCGTCCGAGAGAACTTGAGCTGGGCAGTGCGACAAGCGCGTAAGGCGTTAATTCCACATTTGCAGGAGGCGAAAGCGAGCGGGAGGAAGGCGTCGATTCGTTTCGACAAGCTTGTCGTGGCAGGGCGCAGCTTCGGCCTGGGCGAGCTGGCAGCCCGTCCGCGGGCTTGGGAGGGCGCGGGGCGGCGGGGCCCCGTGAACTCCGCGAGGGGGCAGAATCCCAGGAGGGCGGACACTCCTTCCAAGCAATCGGGCGCCTGCTCGCGGCCGCCCCCGCGCGCGCCCGTGGCCGGGACTGCGGCCGCACCGGCAGCTGCGCCTCGTTCGGGGACGGCGCGGACGACCTCTGACCCCACAGCATCGAGGCGGAGGCAATCGCGGTCACGTTCGCGCCGGTGGTCGCGCTCGAGATCCCGGCGAAGCTCACGGCACTCGCGGCCGAAAGCGTGGAGCGAGGTCCGCGTACGAGGGTGATGGCAGCCAACGCGCAGCAGCAGGAAGCTCGCGGTGAGTCGGTGCTCAACATTTCACCAAATAGGCAAGAATAGGTTTTAAGAATAGGGTGTTGGAACATCAAAGGTCTAGGCTCTAAGCTCGGTAATCAAGACTTCCATGGCTACATTAATACGTTTGATGTAATTGGACTTGTTGAAACTTGGTAGAAGGAGGGTGAAACGTTATCTGTGTCTGGTTTTACAGCCATATGGAAAAATAAAAAACGTAGAGGAGAAAAGGGTCGGTACCCAGGTGGTGTTGCGTGCGTTTTTCGGACTAGCTTAATGCAGTTCATTAATGAAATTAAGACCAACTCAGACAATTTCCTTTGTATTAGACTAGTAATGCAAAATATAGATATTGCCATTGTGTTTATCTACCGTCACCCACAGGGTTCGCGTTATTATACTCCGGAATCCTTCGGCGAAATCAATGATTTCCTAGATACATTAAAGCTGACGTACCCGAGTTCTCACTTACTAGTGTTAGGGGTCATGAATGCTCGAATTGGCAATGAACAGGAAGTTTTTTCGGACTTCGACCGGCAAGAAGCGAGAGAGAATTCCAGAAAAAGCAAAGACTCGGTAATCACTAATGATGGGAAGGAATTGCTAGAATTATGCGACAGATTTAATCTCGAAATCTTAAATGGCAACTATGGACAGGATACGGAAGGGGAACTTTTAATAGTGGGAATGGATTTGGTGTAATAGATTACGCTCTGTTGTCGCAGGAAAGAATACACAATTTATTAGATTTTGGGATCGAATTACGGGCAGAATTTTATCATTTGCCTGTGTTCGTGCATTTAGCAGTAAATGCTTCTTCTGCACTGCCATCGGCAGAGGAGCGGGCAGCAGCAACGAATTTGACCATAGAAAGAAAACGGTTTGTATGGAAAGAGGAAAAAGGACAGGAATTTGTACAGGATATTCTTAACTCGGCAGGGTGGGCGCGAGAGAATTGCTCGCCGGAAACGCAAACAATGAACTTAGAAAGGCGGCTCTACCGCGCAGGGAAGAGAAAAAAAAGAGAATATAAAGGGCGGGGGAAGGGGGCCGCTGGGTGGCGGAAACGATTTCTTATTTTCCTTGTGGGTTGGGCTGTTTGGATTTTTTTAGGTTGCTGAAGGAGGCAAAGCACTGGAAGGAGACGGCGGGACGCCCCGCGGCAGAAAATAAAAATGCTAAAATAAACGTCGGATAGATTAGAATGTACCTCGGCTTCCTGGACGGCAGGTTTTTCCCCCTTCAGGGGTTTTTTCCTGAAGCCGTACCTTATGGTCTCTTTTCCGCGGCTTTGATGCGATGGAGAAGACCCATTTGGGTGAATACCCAGAATTCGAAGATTAGAACGCGAAAGGATGTAGGTATTGGTTAATGCTTAAAAGGC